TGCTCTACATTTGGCCAATCATCTGGATTAGTGCTAAACAAGGCACCGTGGAGGGCATAGGGGTCCATATGGTCGATCACGGGACATTTCCTCAGATATGTTCCATGATCTGGTGGCTCTAGCGTGCTGGCGTACTTATCCATTCGCGACATGATATATATGATATACGATAATATGCCACCCAAGATGGCGGACCGGAAGCTGGCCAGTGACGTCACTGAAAACCCCCTATTGTCAAGGTGCGACAGAGGCATTAGAACCTGAGAAAGAACGGCTCCCCCTCCACCTGGAGGAGATCTCCAGAAGGCCGAGAGGCGTCCAAAGGTCATGAATGAAGAGGATTGACTCTAAAAACAGGAAAGCTGACCAATAAAACAGGAAACCTGGGTCACTGCTGGAGAGTTTGGCTGCAGAACCTGCTGAGGAACCTCTATTATCTGACAGCGGAAGCAGAGCGTGCGGACACAGACACACATGGAAGCTGAGGCGGTTCTACGGGTGGGAGCGGGTCACACAGGGACTTACTCTGGACGCCACACGTCAGGAAACATTCATGCTCCGTGCTAAAGCGGTTGGCGTTTCCGCCGCAGCCGCCGAACCAGAAGGGGGAGCATGCAGCGATGGTTCTGTCAAAGAACCACCGTTGGACATAGTCGGTACACGGGAAACCCATATCAGCATCCAGCTGACAGCGGGCTGCAAGCAGAACACACACATTTACTGACCCGGACACGCAGACGGTAGCTACTACACCAGACCGCATGCACAAACAGAGTGACACAAAACTACAGCAGTCTGCAGGGATCGGGTGGACTGTTTGGACCGGCCGTCAGTCTGGTACCTTTCAGGTCCATTCCATGCCAGTCTCCTCTGCTTGGTGTTTTGATGATGTCCAGCAGGTCGGTCTGAGTCTGGCCGCCGGTCTGCTCCTGAAACTCCTCCCCCTCAGGCTGCCCAGCATCAGCGAGAATCCTGAGGACAGCAGGGACATCAGGTTCAGATCCAGGAACTAGACCTCCCCCACTTCAGAAGACTTCTTCTCTGGACTTCGGCTGCTTTTAAAGGATAAAACTCCTAAAAACTAGTAACCTTCTGTCCAACTGTCCTGTTTTTGGGATGTCTGTTAGCCAGTTTAACCAGTTCCTGCCTGGAAGCAGAAGGAAGAAGGGAAGAAGAAACCTCCATCTTCACAGTGGGACAAAAGTTCTTAAACACATTAAGCCGTGCCCATTGGTCGGTTAAAGGGTCGATGCAAGGGGGTTGAATTTAACCCCCCCCTTGTGTGAGGCAGGCATCGGGTCAGCAGTACAGCGACCAGAGGATGAAGTCTGGTCGAGTTTAAACAGGTTCAAAATAAATCTGTCTTTGAAAACAGGCATCAGAGCTGCTGTTGTCAAGGCTAAAAGCCTTCAGCTGATCCAAAATGCTGCAGCCAGAGTCCTGATGAAAATGAAAAAGAGAGATCATATCTCTCCT